ATTAAGGGATGTTGTAACCTTACTGACAATATTTCCAAAGTAAATATCCTTACTTAATAACTAAAAGTTTACAGAAAAATCCTCCTTTAACTATCTTATCTCTTTTTTCTTTTTTTTTTTTAATTTCTGACAAAGAACAGTTTTGATAGTCACAGAAAAAAATCGCTGCACAGCCTAAGCTCTGAGTCTTGTGAGAGCTTCTGAGAAGGAGCCTGAGAATCATTCTTCAGTAGGAACCACAAAGGATTGACTATCAATTTTCTCTGCAGGCAAGAGACAGCAGAGGTTCATGCTCTGCAAGAAACCTCAGCTTCCTTCTGTAAGTTCTGAAATTCCACTAAAGGAAGGGAAGTTACAGGTGGAAGTAAAGCGTAATATAGCAGGACACAGGAGAAGACTTTATTCTATGTGAAAAATAAAAAGTTTTTTAAAAACCTTGGACCTAAGGCTAGACATGAAAAATAGGTCTAAGTATCTGTGCTTTAAACAGTCTTCTTTCTTTCTAGCAGATTACACTCCAAAAGTGTTGTTGGTCTGTCCCAGACCAACTCATCAGATGTTTGACTACCACTGTTCTGTTTATATTAGAATAAACCATTTTTCAGAGAGAAATGAAAGTACTCTGTTGACTAAACAACAAGTTGTGAGATACAAGATCTTAATTACCAGTATTAGTACTGAAGTGTGCCAGTATATTACAATCTTCTTTTCTTTCCCATCCTCCATAAAACCCCAGAGTTCTTTGAGGCTTCATCTCTTCATAAGGTATAATCTAATCCTACCCATATATCTAAAAATTTCATTATCTATATTGTTAACCTAAAAATAGTTATCTTCAAAGGAAAGTGACCTGATATTATCCAGCCTACCACAACTCTTTGGGATGATTTAGTGTGGAGTTAAATGTAATTGATGATTTGGAAAATACACCTTGTCTGGTGGTGCAACAGAACTCCAATACAGGTAATGTACCAAAAAAATACAAAATTATAGGCTTCCAGTTAAAAAAATTTAAAAAAAAAAAAAATTTAAAAAAAATATTTTTTCTTTCAGACAGAAAATAACCTGAGTCAAAACAGTTCACAAACAAGTGCAAAAAGGAGTATCACCACAGACAATATAATATGGTTATTTTAATGAAATTCAATGTTTGGATCTTATAAAAATATTAGGCAGAGCAGACACATAGAAAGTACACAAAATGGTGTATAGAAAAGATTGTATATGTTATTCTGTTAGATCAGTCTCTTTCACAATACTTAAGTTAAACTGAAGGGGAAAACAAGAAGAATGAACTGAACTTTGCTGAACTGTCCTTCCCAGTTAATTTCCAAAGAACCTTTAGTCCCAATAATAGTACCAACTCAATAATATCAACTTCTAGCATTTCATATCTTCAAAGGCTCATTTATCTTCACTTATACATCTGTCAGTAATCCTTTTCTTCTACGTGCTAACCAAACACAACCCTTTAACCACATTCAGCCACAAGGCAGAAGTTAATCACAAGACTGGTAGAGAAGGAAACAGGGCTACACAATGGGGCAATGTTACCCAGCAGAACAGGGGATCATCGCATTCCTGTGCAGCAAATCCAATGACTGCAACAGGTGGAATTACTTCTGTAATTCAGAAGTCGTTCTGATTTATCTCAGCATAATCCACTTAATTTTTTGCCTAATTTCTGCACTGCACAAATATGCAATGTGTCTTTTTCAAACACAGTTTGGGGGAAAAAAACAGAGAAAAAAATATATATGTACTCTCTGTTGCAGGCAAAGCAGCAACTATACTTTACTTGTAAGTTCCATTCCTGAAAGAACATAAGGAAAAGTAAGTATTTGGCCCAATACATATGTCATTTAAAGAAAAATGTTATTTTTAAGATAACTTCATTTGGTACTCCACAAGATAGAAATTCCTTTTTTTTAGTCTGTACCTTTGTTGCCATATTTTTTTGCAGTTTGGTATATTAACCATTATGAGAAGTCCATAATTTTTTTCCAAACCACTCTACCTGATGAACTTGTCCAAAGAGGAACTATAATGAACTAGCAGAGGCAATGAGGTAAAGGCCATAGCAAAATAGGAGGACATATTTTATTTTAATTGATTTAGCAGGTGTTTCTATCTTGGTGCAAGTCAAAAATGTGTCACCTGAGGTTTCCATTTAAAAATCACTTGCCCATATGGAGTATGTACCACATCTGTTCAGAAAAATAGGTCACAGATATGTAAATATGGAAATTAAACCAATAAAAATAATACACTCTGCATCCATAATTTCTGACCGAAATAATGTGCTGACCTCTAGAGCTGCTAAATCTGCTAGTAGATGTCAAAGATCTAACAGTAGAAAAATTTACATTTGTGAGAAAAACCCACAAATTTATGGTGACAAGCAAACATGAACAAAATATTTATACATACAGATGTGCTGCAATACCTGTTTTGGGTGATCTGTTTTGTTTTGAGCAGCAGCAGTAATTTCCTCAACTCTTACGCTATATTTATACCAATCTTCTTTTTTTTTACCTTAACACTGCTCCACAGCTATGATGACACAGCATTTGCTAGCACACCTGCAGCATATTTGGCTATATCCAAAGCTGGAATCATGCCTTCCAATTATATGTCCTACATCTGGGAGATCAGATCTGAGCCCAGACATTACAATCCTTGCATCAGAAATTTAAGTAACCTTTGCAGGCCCTGTGCTGACTTCTCCATACCCACCATCTGAATCCTTCTCAGAGTCTGGAATGAAAAAGCAATGTATCTGCAAGATTTAGTATTTGAAAGACAAAACTCTGAATTATAATAGATGCTTTTTGTTGCTTGCTGTAAATTGTTAGAAAGCTTGGCTCTTATAACTTCCCTTAAAAAATCTTTTGTCATAAACTGAGTTTTACAATGGCTGAAATGTAGTGGACTTCAAATTAATACATGTGTAACTATTTGTAACAAGATAGAACATTTCCTTCAGCATTGCACTTTGTCAGCATCCCTTGTGATCCTGTTAATCTAATTCAAACACATAAACTGTTATCCTGCATTAGGAATTTATTTCAGCTACACTGAAGAGGTTTCATTTCAGCTGCTATTTGGTTTTTATTAAAATAGAACTGCCTAAGAGCACCAACATTAGAAAAAGGAACCGTGTTTTCCCAATATGCTACAAATTTGACGTGCTGGCACTTAAAGTGCAGACAGACAGGAATAAAAGGCCACAGTGACACACAATACCAGCAGCATGAAGCAAAATGGCAGCCTGAGTACTACAGTTCCTCCACTCATTTTTAAGATTATTTTGAGGTTGTTTTTGGGGGTGGTTGTTGTTTATTTGGCAGCAGGATTTATTTACAAGACAGAATTGGAAGAGAAAACACACTAGTAATCATGGCTTTAGGGATTCCCTGCCATATGCAAGACAGGTAAGCTTGAAATACAGGACTTTAGTATCCAGGACTCAGGATACCCAGACTAGTATCATAGAATCACTAAGGCTGGGAGAATGTCAGGAGATCTCTAGTCCAGTGCCCTGCTAAAAGCAGTGTTCGCTCTCAATTTAGACCGATTGCTCAGGGATTATTTGATTTGGTATCAAATATGTCCCAAGACAGAGATTGCACAATCTCTCTGGCCAACGTGTCCCAGTGCTGAAGTCCTAACAGTGTTTTTCCTCCCACCTCCCATTATGCAGTTAGAAGAACATCTACAAATCGATGGACTTTGATATCATCCACCTGAGGGTGTTAGGAGAACTGGCAGATGTCATTGCTCTCCATAATCATTGAGAAGTTATGAAGATCAGGGGACAACCCAGAAGGCTAGAAGAATTCTAATGTGTCCCCTCTAGCCTCATCTACAAGAAGGGCTTATAGGAGGATCCAGGAAATTATGGTCACAGCAGCCTTACTTCATGCCCAGGACTCCTATTCCCACAGCCCAGAGTGCTGTTACCACTTTATTCCAGGGTTCACAACTGACCCGTGTTCAGCTCTTTGCTCTCCAGGGCCCTGAGCAGAGCTTCTCCCCATCCAGTCAGCCAGACCCCCTTCATACTTCTGTAGGAGGTTCATTCCCAAGTACGAGACTTTGCATTACTCCTTGTTGATTTTTATGAAGTTCCTGTTGTTTCATTACAGTGGCCTGACTAAAGGCATCTGAACAGCAGATCTGGCCTTGAACTTTATCTGTTCCATTTCCTAGTTTTCTGTCATGAAAAAATTGACCAGGGTGTCTTCCTCAACACCACTGATAAAAATACAAATATGATAGATACCAGGATATGCCTTAGAATAGACCCTCTGGAAAACTCCACTTCTAAATGTCCTTCAGGTACAAGATGGACACTAACTGCTACATTTTGAACCCAATGAACTAGTTTTTCACTTCCCTGGTAGTCAATCTAGTGTAGCAGTGCAACATCCTAACAGAGAGAGAAGAGATGCTACAGGAGATCATGTTAAAAATTTTGCTAAAGTCAAAGCAGACAGCAACTGCTGCCATCTCCTCATACACAAATTTAGTCATTACATAGAATGAAAAAAATGTAGAAAAATCTGTGATGGAAAGGATGATTTAAAGGTCATTTAGTTCACAAATTCAACTAGGTCAAGTTTCTCAGAGGCCTGTCCAAAATGACTTCAAATGTTTCCACGGATGGGACATGTACCACATCTCTGGGCAACCAGTTCCAGTGCATGACCACACTCACAGTAAAGTGTTTCTTCCCAATATCTAATTTAAACCTACCCTTCTCCAGTTCAAAGACATTTCTCTGCATCCTTCTTATTCTTGTAAGAAGTTCCTCCCCAGCTGTCCTGGTCCCTGCTAGGTACTAAAAGGCTGCTATGAGGATTCCCCAGAGCCTTCACTTCTCCAGACTCATTAGTCCCAACTCTCCCAGCCTGTTGTCATAGAAGATATTCTCCAACCTTCTGAACATCTTTGTGACCCTTCTCTGGACTCCCTGTAACCTGTCCATGTCCTTCTTCTGCCGAGGAGCCAATGTGCCGAGGAGTTTCAGATGCAATACTTCAGGTGGGTTCTCACAAGGACAGAGTAGAGGGTGAGAATCATCTCCCTCAATGTGCTGGCCATGCTTCTTTTTCATCATACAAGATATTTAGGTTGGTCAGGTCCAATTTGCTCTTGATAAATCCTTTATGGCTGTTCTCATTCACATTCTTCTTCAGTGCCCAGAAAGAGTTTTGAACAGGACTTGTCTTGAGACCTTACTAACAACCCAATAAAGGCTGACTGGCCTGTCATGACCACTAAAACTAGGATGAAGAGTTGGCCATGACTACTAAAACTGGGATGAAGAGTTGGAAAATGAATCATAAGGATCTCAGTAGTCTGACAGCAACCTCATGAAGAAAATTGTGTACCTTCAGTGTAATAGACAGAAGAGAGAAGGAGAAAGAACCTTCTTAGAGAAGAACAGTAAAATAAAATTTAAGAATAGCTGCAAACAACTTAACCTAACCAGAATTTAGCCTTGCAATGAGAAGTAAATTGGACAAGATTTCCAAAAATCTGTTCCACTCTTAATTATTTAATGACCGTATAACAGATAAATAAAAGCAACTAGAAACTGGATGAAAAAAAATCAAGATTGAAGAATATAAATTTATTTCTCTAGTAACATTATGAATGACATACAAGATAAGAATAGATGGAAAAGTGTTTCATGCTGAAATATCAATAAGTAAAATGATGAAAGCCCTTTCATAAAAAGAACATAATGAAGCATGACTATATTAAGTTGGAAGATATTCAACTTTATCCACTTAGTAAGTTACTGTATGTAATAGGAAAATCTTTGGTTCATATTTATGCAGGTTATTTATTATAGAATTCACTTTTTCATAAGAGATGAAGCAGTATTACATTGTCAAGCATGATAGCAATTTGACTGTGATTCCCCTCTGGCACAAGCATGTCTTGAAGTGTCTGTCTGAAGGAGAAAAAATCAATATAGGATTCATGCTCCTACAATTCAGCTGATGCCTCAACAAGCATTATCTTTCCACTTATTTTTCCACATTTTTCTCACTCTCAATGTGTGCTCATGTTATGTAGCTATCTGGTCTGGATGAATGGTTCCTTTTTGTCTCTTCTTCAGGTGCACAATAATAAAAAAATTTAAACAAATGGAAAGCCAACATCATCTTCTGAGAGTTAAAAGCCATTTATCTGAATGTATACATTGAGCAATTCAAAGTTGTACAAACTGCTACTCAACTAATTTCTCTTATACTAAGTCTGGCAAAAGAGAAAGCTTCTGGACAAATTAACACAGAGATATTGGAAAAGAGAAAACTTCAAATCTTTTAAAATAAACATATCATTACTTACTATTTATTCTACAGCACATTGCAAATAAAACAATTGCAGAAATATCATAAGGACCTTTGACAAGTGATTGGCTCTTTCCTCTATCTTTTCAAATGTAACTGCTTAGAAAAGAAAATTCTACAAAGGCAGAATTTAAACAAAGTAGCTTTGGTTCCAATTTCATAAATAGTTCTTAACAGTTGCATTGCAGATAGATAGATAAACAATAGATTTAATCCTATTGAATAACAGCTTTAATTCTGTTAATGACATATTGTTTAAGAGTTAGGAGATGGACAGGGACATAAACTCAGTTGATGAAGAAGTCCTTCATTTTTATTTCATTTTGAAAAGATGGAGTCCCGTCTTCCTAAGGTATCTAAAATGCATCTATTTAACATTACTACAAATATTTCTTAGCAAATTTCATGCTATATATTCAGTAACTTCTATCTAATTTAAAAGATTTAAGTTTAGCTATGGCTGAACTTTCAAATGTTACAGAAATTGACAAAAAACAATTAGATACTAAAATTCAACAAAATTTAATGTCTGATGTACTTTAATAGAACATCCCAAATTCCATTCCCTTATTCTCTGTTAATTCCCCAACACACAGTTTAATTTCAGCACCTTGAAGTTAATACATTCTGCTGGGTTATGGTTGATTTGCTATGATTTTAAAATAGGCTCCGTGAAATCTTATGGGAAAATTCAGAAATCATCCTGAAGTCTTATGCTTTAATTTTTATTGTATTTGTTAAATTTACACTTACAATCCCGAGTAGGGAAGTACATACTTTAATAAAAATATAATTTTGGAGCATTTTGTGATACTTCGTTACTTTCTAAAGTAACTACATGTACTACTAAAAATAACACTAATGACACTATGGAAGTGTTTAATTTTCTTTCAAAAATGTTATAGAAACATATACCATTTTGTGCACATTGGCCAAATGTAAGTGAAAAAGAGGCAAATACTGTATTTTGGGGAAAGGAGGGTGGGGAGGGATAAATTATGCCTTAAAAAAATTCTTGCCTCTTTCTATGAGTCTAGCAGTGAGGCTGCTTAACTCACTTTGAGTCCAGAAAAATACTTTGATATACTTTACCTTCCCACCATTGCTTAAGACCCTCCAAGGCCTTTAAGAGCTCTGTAGGTATAACACCACCTCAGTGTGAAGATTTCCTAGTCATGTGGTTTCAATTCCTAAAGGATCATGTATAAAACTATTTCACTATTGATGCAGGCAGCCTTGGGTGAAAACCCCACAATTTGAGTTGAAGTTTAGCCTGTATGAAAACGACAGTTAAAAGCTGTGAGGTAAGTGCATGCAGACAAAACACCTTCATACTCCCAAAATCCCTTTCTGTATCACACAGAAATAACATGAAGGGTGGGATTAAGGCACCTGAAACTTCAGGGAACCAGAGGCAGCAGACACGACACATGATGTTGCTATGAACCTGAGCCCCAGAGTAAGAGCTGGAGGCCATCTGAAGTTCAAGCAGAAAATCTAAGGTAACGCTACTCTTATATGCTCAAATACCTTCTCTGCTCTCATAGAATTTGGGTTGGAAGAGACTTTAAGATCACCTAGGTCCAATCCTTGCTTGGTCAGGGATGACACCTACTAGATCAGCTTGTTCAGGGCATCCTGCCCTTCAACATTGCCAAGGATGGATCATCCAAAACTTTCCTGGGGAGACAGTTCCAGTGCCTCACCACCCTCTGTGTAAAGGATTTCTTCCTCAGTTCTAACCTAAATCACTGCTCGTTTTTATTTAAAACTGTTTTGTATTGTTTTTCCTAGTGTCCTATCCCTGTCTGCCTGTTTAAATAGTTGTTCTCCCTGACTGGGAGAATTCGGAAGGAAATTTAGGACCCTGTAATTTTTAAAGACATATCTAAATAATAGCTTTGCTTTGTTTAATGTGAAACTGACACTAGAATGTGAAATGTCCTTTAGCAAAAGAGTAGATATTGTAGATATTCAGTGCCTCCTAAATCCCTCTGAAGACCATGCACTCCTCAACTATTTCAGTTGATCCAGCTATTTGCTTTATTCCTGGAGGCCAGTTTCTTCATCTTTGGACTCACAGTGGGAAATTCTCATCTTCTTTCTTCTTTGAAACTCTCATCTAGTACTAAACTGAAAATAAATTAATTCCTCTTCCTAGTTCTAGTGCATGATATGCCAGAAAAGAATAAATATGCACAGAAAAATCATCTGTGTGGTGGTTCCACTGTGGGTTCCTGAGCTTAGGAAGAAATGTTTGAATATCCCTGGTCAGACTTTTGCCACTGGAATGTATTTTTCTTAGCACTATTCTATATATAGCATTCATGGAACAGCTACAATAAAATATATTAGTTTCTCCTTGCGACAAGAATTTCTTCCTTACATTTGGTGTTTACATAACTACTATCAAGTAATCCTATATGTTTATGTGTCATTTCTTTGTCCTGGTCCGAAGCTAAGGGCAAAATAAGAAAGAGAAAAAAAAGAATAAAAACCAAAGGAAAAAAGACAGAGGCTGGATCAGTGCTCAACAGGAAAAGTTTTATACATTAAAGCACAGCTATGATTTTTACCGCAGATTCAAAATCCATTGTAGTGTCAGGACATCATAAAACTATTTTTCCTTTTTTGAGCCCAGTGGTTAGTCTCTGTTGAAAGACTGGGTTACTTCAGTCTGAATTCTGCTCTGAAAACAGGTTTAATAAGTGGTTACACTTTTGTGTGTTTTGAGATACAGATTTGGGTGATTAAGCCTTGAGTACAGCAGCACTGGGTCAGAAACAGGTCCACCAACCAACATATCCTGTCTCTGAGAGCAGATATCTCAGGGGGTAAAAAAAGAAAAGGGCAGACATTCTGTGACACTGTACCCCTACATTTCCTGTGAAAGAATGTGCACCTTGAGGACTTTTGAGTCACAGATTCTATCCTTGTGTTTATCAACACTTAATAAATGTTTCTCCACAGATTTCAGTAATTTATTTTTAAGTCATCTAAACTTTTACCATACTATTATTCTATGCCAGAAACTCGTATCTTTTAATAAAACCTTCTGTGGGAAAAATATGTACCTATTTTTTATTCTTTAACTTAAATCTCTTTAAAATTTCATTTGTCTCTGCCTTGTTTCTGCATTCTGAGAACGTATGAAAAATTATTCTCTTATTCACTCACTGCCATAGTGCTCATTATCCATTTCTTCTCCAGACAAAAATATCAAAATCTGTTTCACTTTTTCTCTTGCAGAAACCATTTCACCCTATTTGTCATACTTGTTGCCCTTTTCTGTACCTTTTCCATATCTAATATTTTATTTTTATAAACAGAACTGCAAACAACATTCAAGATGTGAGGACAACATGGATTTATACAGCAACATAATTATACTTTCTTCTTTCCTCTCAATTCTTTTCCCAGCTCTCAAAACTCTTTATTTTTCTGACCACCACTAAATATTGAGCTGATGTTTTCAGGGTGCTATTATATAATTATTCCAAAATCTCTTTCCTGAATTGTAATAGCTAATTTAAAGTTCTTCACTGTATATGTAGAGATGGATTGTTTTTCCAGCCAGCACTACTTTGCATTTGTCAAAAGTGAATATCACCCATTTATCACCAGTCAATTAGCTTCACAAAATGTACCCAGTGTTCTTCGTTCAGATTCCTTCCTTAATATTTTGCACCGTTTCAGCATTATTGTCAAACCTTGTCACCTCACTCTCCACTTCCCTTTCCAGACAAGACAGCGGTGCCCTGGCACAAAGCCCTATGGATACCTACCAGTTATTTTCAACCATTTTAGAAATAGTCCAGAAAGGGTCCTCTTGATCCAATAGGCTACCAATGGAAGGATGTTCACTTTTATTAAATGAGGGTTGTGTGTATTTTCTTAGGCCCAGACATTTTGGTAATTATATGAAGTTGGTTTAGTTCCCTGACCTCTTGCATGCCTGCTGCTCTCAAGTTATGCCACGACAACCACTACAGCTGGCTTCTGGAATCTGCAATAAATGCAAGCCAGCTTGCTCCTTCTGAGAAATGAAATTGGAATTGGAAACCAGAGGAGTCTTCTTCAAACTTCATACCCTACAGACAGCATGGATTCACTCCCCTCTAATTCAGTCAAGACCCTCCCTCAGCAGTGCAGGAAATGGTGCTCATGTTCACTTGACCACTGCCCTATGCAGACGAACAAGACACTAGCAAAATCCTGCTACTCCAGAAGCCTTCACAGCACATGCTGCAAGTCAGAGGGATGCAAGGACAGAGGCAGACTAATTAGGATCACAGTAGAAGACAGCAGCTTTCCCTATATAAATTACTCATAGACCAAGAAGATCATCCCCCAGCAATCCAAGAGGATGGATATGATGCTGACAGCTACCAACATAAGGCTTAACAGAGTTTGATATTCTAGTACCTGCACACAGAGGTGTGCAGTTCAAACCAGGAGGCCAGTGTTGCTTGTCAGAAATGCCTAATCTGTACTGAGCTCCACCAAGAAGGCAAGCAGATACTTTATAAAACCTCCCTGTTCTCAGCCTGGATCTACATGTGAAGCTTGTAGAAAAATTTAGAGTGCCAAGTGTGTTCATAATCATATACTTTAGTATGATGCTGGTGAAAGATGAAGGAAAGAGAGACTGCTTGAGTTTAGGAGATACACAGGGAATTTAGTATTTAGCATGGATGTAAACGCTGGAAGAATTATAGTGGTACATTAAAATGTATATTATAATTTGTTTAGCAGTACAAAAGTAGCATTCTTTCCCTCAATACTGTTATAAGATATGTGAAACCTATCCTTTCTGTGATTTCACTTCTGGATCCAGAGTAATAACTAAATATGACCAAGCACAATAAATGATTGTGCACTTCTGCAGCCCACACCCAATTTTTCTTGGTTCAATTTCATTGCTATAACGTAAAGGCTTGGTAGCTGTAACTGTTAATCATCAATGTCAACATTGAGAGGTGAATGAAGATAATCTCATTCCCATTCTATGCTATAATACTGTACTAAATTCAGTCACTGATTCCTGCGTCAAATTTTACCCCTGTTTTGCACCCTGCTCTATGTTTCACTGCCAGTTTGTATTGTTGTCAGCTAGGTATCCCTGGCTTTCCTCTAGGCCCTTCCCAACTTTCATTTCATACTTCAGCCTATTTGCATAGGAAATTGAACATATCCTATGACAGTACACAGATACTAAAATGGGGTGGAGGGTAATCTCTCCATGTACCAAAATATCTTCCTTAAACCAACCCTTCATGTCTTCATTCCAGGGGAAAAATAATAAAGAGCAGAGATACCTTTCAAAGGGTAGTCTGTACTAATAATGGTGCTTACACAGGTAGCAAGAGATAATTTATGAGATATCAGGAGGGCATGGTGGAATTCAAGTTTCTAACTGGGCATACTTCATGCAGATTACAATGAATTTCAGGAATCATTAGAGCAGGTGATCTCACAACTGATACTTCAGCCTGTAGTCAGAAGTACCAGCTGCTCCTTTCTTTGTGTTTCAGATACAACTTCTGTTTCCAGTGCTACACTTACAGAGACCTTTCTTTTACTGCTTTCAGTACTGAATTTTTTTAATCTGTGGTATCTCTTAGAGGGGTGACCAATAGTCTTCTGCACAAAAAGTTTATTTGGAATATAGATTATCTTCACTATGTAAAAAAACCCAAAAAATAACAACAGTAAATATCCTGGGTTTCTGCAACAAGATTGCAGTTCATTATGTTTTTATTTTGTTACCATTGACCAGAAGCATTTTTTGCAAGATGAGTCTTTGTTTCAAACACATATGCTCACATATGTCTACTGCCACCATTTGCAACAGAAAAAATGTAATTAGAACTAAGAGTTTTAATCTCCCCTCGCTTCCCAAAGAGCAGTTACATACAAGCAGGAATTCAACTAGCACATCTGTGTGAAGCAGAGTTTACACCTCGGTAGTGCCACATACTGCATAGGAGAAAAGCACAATACATACTAAAAATACTTAACTTTTGCTTTTCCCCCACAATCAATTCATGACTCCATTTGCGCTTGAAAACTTTCTTTTGAGACCAGATACATTCAGCAAACTGAGGATTTTGCAATCAGCACTCTTGATATGCACACCGGTATCTCTGAACAAAATAGAGTCTACACTATTAAAAAAAAAAAAAGGTTTCAGGCAGGTGAAAGAAAGCAAATGTGTCATTAAGGTCTTCAGTTCCTAGTAAAGCATCACTTATTAGGGACTAATAAGTAGCTCACCTGCAAAGATCGTGGTAACATGCACTGCCCTAACTCTGCTGAGATGCGTATGCCCCCACTAAACTATTTGCTGCTGGCCTCATACACTTTGACACTGATTCAGACCATCAGAGATGAATTCTTCTACCAGTCTGGGAAGCTAAGGAAGCTGGAAAGCAACAGGAGCTGCATATACAGCAACTCAGTTCTATCAGAGCGGGGGGAAATCTGCATGAAAACAGTTCAGTTCAGCTTTGCAGAGAAATCTCTGTAGAAAACTAGTAGTGAAATAATCCTGAATTCCTTTATTTATTTATTTTTAACAGGAGAAATGCATTAAGAGCATAAGGTAGATATGCAGAAGGTTTTCTCTCTTTTATCAAATATCTCATTTAAATTCTAGAGCACAGCAGATATTCATTAAAATTCAGTTGTTGCCAGGAATTTCAGTGACAGAGCTGTGACAGCTGACAACGGGGATACTGTTAGTGAGGTGGCCGAAGCTACACTGAAGATTCTTCCTCTCAGAAGCACGGTTTGATCAGACTTCTTTTTCTTCCTCCTCCCACTCCCCATTGCACCGAGTGTTGCAAAAACAGATTTGTGATTAGACTGGACAGCCTTTCAAGCTAGGACTCCCTGCATATTCAGATCACTCTGGAACAAAAGCCATGATAAGCACAAAAAGATCCACAGGACTACTCAATAACAGAAAAGACATAGAAAATAGTGCCATGGGCACACAGCTGGTAAACAAAGTAGCAAGAGAGACTAATAGAAGAAAGAGCCAAAGAAGTGCATATACCAGTAGTGAGCCTTGACAGAGCCCCTCCATCTTATTTTTCTTACTCCATAGCCTTTACCTGTCTCTTTGTCTGGTTTCTATCTCTGTTCTTCCAGGAGTCAGGTTTCTGCTATCAATTAGGCTCATTAGGCTATCCTGCAAGACTCTGCCATTGCCCAATTAAACCAGTCACCTGATTGCAGACAAAAATTGCAGGTGACTCTCCCTGACTGAAGTCTCCACAAAGACTGCAAAATGATCTATCTGTATATAGAAGAGAGAGCATTAACTCTCTAGGTGCCAGGTGGGCATGGCACTAGCTCAGAAAACACTCCTTTCAGAAGAAATTTCTTAATGTCTGTATGGCTACTCTTAAGTGGGGTTATTTATTCCTACTTTTAGTCCCACAATGAAAAGTAAATCACAAGATCTTTATTCCTCCAGCACCTGTTACATAAACATAGTAATAAATTAATGAATACATAAATAATTAAGGATTGACAGCATCCATGACCGCTGCCTTCTCCTACAGGTGACCACACCAGTCCTTAATTTGAGCACTGCTAATAACATGTTCATTATTCTAATCACATATTTTAACTGATGAAACTCAAACTTCATTTAAAATATACTACAGAAGGAAACAAATGTAAATCATCTGCAAGTAAGGTAAAAATTGGGGATAAAACAATTTACATTACAATTGATACGCTACTTTCTAAGTTCTTTTAAATGAACATATATTTTGTCATGCCTGTCAAAATAAAGGTATACCAAAACTGCTGGAGATTACAATTAAAATTTAATATAGAAAATTTAAACACCACCAGTTCCAAATAAATCTGGAGTTTTTTAATGGAAAGGCTTTGAAAAGGAAAACTATGAATGACAGCTTTCAGCATTACTGTTCTGAAACATTTTGCACCTTTATCATTTTTTTTTCCTCTCAGTGCAAAATTCATAATATCAAAGAGAACAAACATAAGACATGATTAGACAAAATAACTGTGCTTAAACTGCAGAAATAGACATGTTTCGAATTCTAATTTCTTTCACTTCTCAAGTAGAATTCTTGCTATTATCTGAAAGTGGAAAAGATTAAGTTACTTTTAAGTAAATAAAACTCATCATCCATACAATATTCATGTTTAGACTTTCTTCTAGTCTTTGATGAAATTCATCTTTATTGCTTTTATTCTGTCATTTCATAAATATCAAATCTATTTTAGAATAAGAAAACAACTGAATATGTAACTAAAACTTAGAGGAAATGTTTCTAACTCAGAATTGCATGGCAACAACTTCATAAGCAGGGTAGCTCTGATCCCACACTTAATAAAACCTTGAAAGGGAAGAACTTTAAAAAGCACTTAAGGCAATTTCCCCATCCTACTTTATTAGGTATTACTGGTGTTAATGTTTTGTTTTCCTTGATGGGAATTTCACACTCTAAATCTATTGAAAATACCAGTGTGGTTAGCTCAGCCTCCAAACTGAGATAGAGCTCATTGCATAATAAGGGTCAATCTGCAAAAAATTGGCCCAGATTTGGAGTTGTGTTTTGTCAAAACTCTAAAGTTACAAGTTTTTAAGAAGATCTTCTAATTTCTATGTCCCATATCTAAAACCCATATCACAAACCATATCTAAACCCCTATCTAAAACCCTAGAGTATTTTTATAGAAAAAAAATAGCTCATATTCAGAGGAGTAGTTTAATATGCAATAAGATGTTATTGGTACGTGTATTCCTTAATTCTTATGACTAAATGGAGTGTGGCAGGAACATAATATCTGAAGAAGGAGATATTTATTCATTTCCATCTTTAATACAGATGATCTGTGTCTCACAGAATGAGCCATTCATCGCTGCCTGGTTGGGTTTTTATTTTCAGATGTAAACCTTTAAGTATCTATTTATGAGGTCCTTCATAGTATTTGGTCCTAGAGATCTGAGTAGGTACAATGTGCTCTCACTGGCCATGAGTTAATTCATGGTTAATTTATCTGCTCCTGAAAGCTGACTGGGGCTTCCACATCATAACGTTTCTGTGTACAGCAAAAGTGTTTTAGTCCTCATCATCCTGGAAATTTGTGTTGTGAATTTCATGCTATTTATTTTAATCCTTTCTTTCAGGTATTCCAACGTATTTTTCTCAGAATACTTATCTTTGATAACAATTTGGGGAACAATTTTATGGCAAGTATTCCTCTACTAGTCCAAGGAAGATGACAGCATTTAACAAGAACTGCTCCTATACTTAACCCAGACTCTCTCCCCTGGTGTCAACTTCTTACCTTTATTTGATTATCTCAGTCTAATATTTACACATCCTCATTCCAGAAAGCAGGGTAATAAGGAGGACCCTGGGATTTTCTTCCTTACTCTGTTCTTGTGAAACCACACCTGGAGCACTGTGTCCAACTCTAGCAATCACAGCCCAAGCAAGACAGGGACCTAAAAGAATAGGTCCAGGAGAGCCATGAAAATGATCAGAGGACTGGAACACCTGTTCTGTGAAGACAGGCTGAGACAGTAGGGATTTTTAAGCATGGAGAGGACTCCAGAGAGACTTTATTGTGACCTTTCAATACCTAAATGGGGCTTAAAAGAAAGATGAAGACAGTCATTTTACTAAGGCCATTAATAAATATGTCTGTAGTGGGTATTCCATGATTGGAAGTGGTCAAGACCAGGCTGGACTGTGTTTTGAGCAATCTGATCTAGTTGAAGGTGTCTATGCCCATGGCAGGAGAATTGGAACCAGATGAACCCTAAAGGTACCCTCCAACCCAAACCATTCCATGGTTCCATGATTGCAACCATTTGTTTTTTGGGTTTTTTTTCCATCATGAAATAGATATAATACCAGGTTCCCTTTCCACAAAAGCATCAAGCCATTATAATGGATATGTATATGAAAATTTTCTGTCAAGGCTTTCTAGTTATTCATGCTGCTTAAGAGGCATGAAGAGTTTGTGATGTCAAAATAAAACACACACAAAAATTTATCCTTATTCAACTCAGAAAATTTATCTTGAAGTATAAAAGGCATGTGCTCTGTTTTTTGCTTTTTAACTGTTCATGCATTTAATATTTTCAATTAAAATCAAAGAAAACAACAACAAAATTCTAATTGAGAGCAACTAAACGTATAAGAAAAAAATAAATGCAAAATTAAAAGCTTTCTTTCTTTCTTTCTTCTTTCTTTCTTCTTTCTTTCTTTCTTTCTTTCTTTCTTTCTTTCTTTCTTTCTTTCTTTCTTTCTTTCTTTCTTTCTTTCTTTCTCACTTTCTCACTTTCTCACTTTCTCACTTTCTCACTTTCCTATGTTAATTTTGCCTTCCTCTCTACACATATGAAAGATCAAATACAAGGTATGTCCAATATTAGAATCAGCAGCTTAATGCAATACATAAGAAAGTATTTAGCTCTCTAGAAGCTTTCTTTCTTTCATAAACAATATGAAAATAAAAATCAGAACCAACTGTACAGTTGGATGATTTCTTTCCTTGACTGTATTTCGAAAGAAAAAAGTGATTCCTGCTCAATTACCATGAAATCCTAGGTTCAGAAGAGAACCTCAGTATCTGTATTCAGGTACTACATTGAAGGCACCTGCCCATAGCTCAGACTTGGATAAGCATGTTCTGAAGCAGAATGAGAAACCACAGTATTTTCTATTGACAAAAATGCAGAATTTAGTGACCTTTGTAATGTGCCTAATCCTCTCTAGATCCTGTGGAGAAGAACTTAAAGGCATCTAGTGCTGAGGCTTACATTCCAACAAGAGACTGGGAGCTTAAAAATTAGGAGCTGTGGCACCTTACACGAAGGTAATGATTTTCTGTTAGATTTAAGTGTGGAAAAAATCTGAAAGGTCAAATCATAAATTGCACACTAATGCTCAGGCTTTTTTTGCCTTCACTGTGAAAATTATTGTTTTCATCCTCTATGCTTTTTTAAAATCTATGTATTAGTAATATAATTCAATTCTTATAATGGAGGAAACAGTAGGGAAGAGCTAGAAAATATCCATATATTATTACCAGAATCATAATTCTTTTACAATGTGCCTGGAGATTTCTAAATGGCTTCTCTTCTGTGATAAACAGTGAAGTAAAGCCTGAGTCCTCTGAGTACAAGAAGAAATGAAGATGAGGGACACAAATAGTTCTGATTATTTTCTTTAAGTTTTGTTGACATCTTTTTCTGCCAGAAGTGTTAAAAAATTTTTAATTTTTAAGGATTTTGTTTTCTTTATTCCCCAGTGTTCACTTGGAAGTATTTTTCTGTACACATATCCTAAGAATAGATTTTCACAAAAAACTCAAGCATATTTGTCAACATATTGATGAGCATAAATCATAATGCATGCCTGAGAAGCACTTATTAATGTTTTAATGATATTCTAAATCTTTAGCAAGTTAACAAATTCACAATATAATAATGGTGGTTTTTTTATGGAGTAACATATTACTAAGGGAAACAAATGTGCTTTTATCATCAAGGATTATTCAAGCATGGTCTCAAGTCTAGCTGCATGGACAGCAGCATTATTGCCATGTTACTTTTTAATTAATTTGTTTCTGTTCTTTACCTTGGTAACTACAAAAAATGTCTATTGCCACAAGCTGTAGTGACTGAAACAAACTAGGGTGCTCAGATAATCTTAGGCAAAACTTATAATAAACATATACATACTGCTTTTGTCAGGCTTTTTGAACTTAGCACTCACAAACCATGGTGCTTTTAGCCATCTGTCCACATAAACATGTGGAACTCTACATTAGGCTTCCAGGCTTGTCACTTTTTATGTGATTTTACATATCAAGGATAATGCTGGTTGCAGCTAAGCTTGTCTGTAAAAGATGAGGCTTGTGGGCATAGCTCCATTTTACAAAACTCTGCTCAAGACCTCAATTAGTGTTGAATAAACAGCTATAATAGAAATTCAAATTACAACAAACAAGTTCCGTTCACATCAGCCTCAAGCAATCTGATCATTTGGGCTTTTAGCCACACTCTCAGCTCCTGCTGGCTCTTTAGGCTAGGATTCCAGCTCCAGCATGAGAGCAGGAGCTCCATGCAGCCTCTCTGCTGCCATCCGCCCTGGGAAGGATGGCTTACAGGACCAGTGTGACAGTGGTTGATGTCAGTCACCCTGACATTTGATACACTGTATGGCTAACTCCACATTCCGGGGGATTTGACAAATATTACAATGTCAGGAGCTTTGAGGAGCTTCCTGATGCTGTTTACAGTATGTTAGAGGAGGCAGATGTTAGCACTGCCCTGTGTCATGACTTCTGTCTACCCATGTCTTGATGTCAGTTTATTTCTGCCTGAAATATTCCAGCACACTCTCATTACCTTCTCACAAATAGAGGGCCTGGTTCTGAAAGCTGCTGAGTGCCCTCAGTTTCCAAAGTTCAGTTTCAGTAAGGTTCAGAAAATACTAAACTTCTCTAGGATACCTGGATTCAGCTAGCCAGTGCAATTCTTTATCCATAATAACATATGTTGACAGATGCCATAAATTTGATTAGGAAATCCTTGCCTGACAACACTGTTTAACAGATATGCTGACAGTGTACAGAAGATTTTACAGACATTTTAATTCAAAATACAGGACCCAGTAAACAAATAAAATAAACCATTCAGCTGTTCTGAAATTTATGCAAAAGGCATAAGCAACGTGTTGTGTGCTTTGAAATTAAATAAATGTCTACACTGTTTTCAAGTCTGATTCTTTTAATTCTGGACAAGGTTTCTTTACAGTTAGAGAAAGAAACTGTATTAACTAAAAGAAACGGAGCCCAGTCTCTCAGCCCCCTCACTGGATTCCATTTTACATTACTGAAAGAATTTATAAAAATTCTTCTGCTAAAACAGCAAATATAGCCATACTAGCATCCTTTGTAGGCAAAGAGGTACTTTAGCAATCCTGTATTACAATGAAGGTAAAATTTATTAGAAATTTTTTTGTAAAACAATAGAATAAATGAGGGTTTCCCATTATATTGTGCTAGGAAACCTATGTATATTTTCCTCTGTGAATGCTATTTTTTCACATTTTAACAACTTAGATTGAAAATCTACCCACTTGGTCGTCTAATATTCAGCTGATAGTGGTCATTAAGGGAAGAAAAAACAATTTTTATTTTGATTCCACACAATATCAGTATCTGAACAACACAAAGAATGTCAACTGTTTTGCGTAAGAAGCTTGAACTATTATGGAATTTTAAGATTTTTGTTAAAGGATAAAAAGCAATAAAACATACAAATCTTGGTAAAATCTAAATATAGCTCTAAAGTATAGCATCCTTAATTATATTTGCTAAGTCTTAGCTGTTTTAAAAACCAAAGACTGAATTATCTAAAATAAGGGACAGAAACCTATCTACTTTCACTCACTTGAAAAAGAAAAACACAAGCAGAAAACAATTCCAACTATTTTTATTTTGATGTTATTAATATTATTATAATAATAATTATTATTATTACTATTGTTTATTTATTTCATCTCAGCTGCATAGTATCTGTACTTGAAGCCTTTTAAAATGTTGTTATTAGAATTAATTTTACATAGCACAGCAGTCTGAATCTGACCTTCTCCACCATGACAGTACCTAAACCACTAAATCTCTCAGTAAGCTTTTTGGTAATACCATGACTTGAAGAGTAAAAAATGCTTAGCATTAGCAAAAGTGTCACAAAATGAGATCAAGAAGGGAAATTTTTTTAGTATCATAATCAAGTAAAGATATTTAATTTTCCTGTTTCTAGAAGATTTTGCTTGATCCTGGAATGAATAAATCCTTTATTGTAGGCAGAACCTTTTGGTTTATAAAGCTGCATATATGAACTGCCTTACTGTTTTGATGTTTAGAGGACAAGATATGATGAAATATGGTTCACTGTTGAAATGAATGAAATGAATGGTTTTCTGGCAAAGAATCATAGACTATCTTGAGTTGGAAGTGACCTGCAAGGATCATCAAGTCCATCTGCTGCCCCAGCACTGGACAACCCCAAACATCATCCCAGTGATGGCCTGCCAGGGGCAGGACATGATGAGAAAACAGAAGAGCTTCTCCTAATTCTCTAACATTTAAGTAATGATTCTTCTGTGAGATTAATGCATGTAGCAGGTTTTTTCACTTATAATCTGCTGTTAAAAAAAAAATCGCGACTATCACTAAGATTTCAGAGCAAACTTGGAGGCAAAAAACCCACACTGGAGGTTTGAAAGAATAGTACAGTAACATTAACTTTGCTACATGGAATGAATGTGAAAAAGTTTTTGCTTTTTTCTTTTTTTAATCATTCTGTAAATTAAACAATTAACATTTAGCCTACTGGCATTCAGCTTTACTTCCTATTTCTGCTTCTATTAATTAATAGGTTATGTTTTCACAAGGACTTAGTTGGCATCTATTTTAATAAAGACTTTAACATACATAACTTGGCTTGAAGGCAGCTTTGTTAATCTGAAATTTTTTGGGTATTTTTTTGGTAAAATGATAGCAAATATTTCCAAGTAAAGTTTTACTCCCTCCTGTTATTTTGGTATTTTCTTCATGGTCAATTTACTGTAGAGTTCATTGTCTGCAACACAGTAGAACTAAACTATCCATTTTCATTCTGTCCTATTACTTTGCTTGTCTAAAACAGCAGAAAAGATGGCTCCCATGACTTGTTTTTCTGCCTACAGAAGAAAACTTGGGAAACATGAAACTCTTCTTAGAAGAAGATATATTTTGCAATTTTCCCAAGCCAGGAACATGGATTGCGTTCTGGAGAACAAAAGAACAGCTTGTCCTGATGTGAAGAATTTTTTTTTTTTCCAGGAAAAAATAGTGGGGATGCAAAGTCCAGTGTTAAGAGGTACATGCTGCTACAGCACCAGACTTTGGCGATCAGGACATGGTTTATATAGCTGAGAGGCTGAGGAACACTCAGGACAGTTACCTGCCAGCTGGGTCACTCTGCTCCCAAATACCTTGAAGTTCATACTGTGGCATGGTGAAATGTGAAGCAAATAGATCTCTGATATGGGAAATTGCTGTAAAGAAAATAAATGCAAACAATACAGGAATAAGACCACATAGGAAATGTAACTCATTTTTTGTAGTGTCAGTCTCTTCCTGTGACTGCAGACTTATTTACTCCACTGGAAATATTTAAGATGTGGAACATTTTATTGTGTCTGACCACTGACTAGGAAATTGCTTTTGCAAATAACTTAGTTATTAATGAAGTGCAGGTGGAAATAGAATTATGTAAATAAATTTCCCTCCAAATTTTATCTCAAATATAATCATAAGGAGGGAAAAGCTGATAAAATGTGTTGGCACAGATCATCAGCAATGTTTATGCTTGAAGTTGAACTTGCAAAACCACATCTACCTAAACATCTGGGGGGGTGCATAAGAACAGCATTATTTGTAGTAGTGTTATTGGTAGTATTAATATTATTATCTACTAATAACAGATGAACAGCAAAGAAGAAAAAAATATATCAAGAAAGCTCTAAAAATTATTATTGACGGTGGAAAATTTTAGAGGAGATAAAAGAGGAAGAAAAAGCTGTTTAAATTAAGAAGTCTACAGATGCAAATATAAAAAGCTTTAGGCCAAATAATAATAGCTCTTTTGTTGGAGAGAAAGGCCTCTGTCTGAAATTGCACTGCTCTTGCTTTAAAAAGCTAGTCCCCCAAAAAGTTACCACTACAGCAGGATCAGTGAAAGGATGGAGGTTACCAGCCTGAAAGGGGAGTCGCCATAAAAAGGGCCTTGGCAAAATGAGGTCCTTTTATAAGTTTGAGAAATACAGACTAATAGATGACCAGTCAGTTGCAGTTTTATAAATGAGTTCAGTAGAAGAAATATTAAGACCTACTCTGGTTTAAAGAGTTTGTTCTTGTTTCCACCAAACCTAGTCTAGCACACCATAAATAGAGCTGGTCAAATAATCCTGATGAAGGTGTAGTTTTAGGCTGTATTTGCACTGAAGCATTAGCTTCTTATCCCTTTTATAGTTGTCTCTATCAGTAATGGAATACATTTAGTAGTTGGACTCACTTTGGACAGATGTATCTATTTTGTATCTGTGTAACCAGAGTAGGTGTAAAGCCCACAGGCAATGAAAGGGAGGTCACACACAACCTCTACCCCGTTTAGCATAATTGGTAGCAGGTATTACATGGGAAAAATAAAAGGGAATGTGAAGCTCTTGAAAGGTGTGGGAAAATTTCTGGTGAAAAGATAAGTTTTTAATCTAAATATTTTTTTAACAATTAAGTAGACCTGGATTAATATATTATATTAAAAATTAATATATGTGCCAAACTCTTTCTTGGCTTAATTGAAAAGCTTTCAGAGGTTTCTGTTTGGGCTGTTTTAAAATATAATACATTCCAACTGCACTCAAGAAAGTGAAGAAAATAACTCAGAATTTTTTTTTTTATAATTCTACACCCAAATATTTTTACTCCATTTCTTTCAGTTCATCTGCCATATTAAGAAACTAAACATTTACTCAGAAATATTCAGGTCACTCCAGACTTTGACTAGAACTCCTAAATAAATCAGTCCATAGAAATGGAGTTTTTCATGTGAACATGTTTAAACTCCTCCATTTGTGTGAATTTGTTCAGATGCTTGCCCTCTGTGTAGCCTAGATCTGCAGCACCCAGACTTAAAAACCCTAAGGAAAATACACTGAAGCAGTGCTCCCCTTCTCAGGACTGAAATGCTCCAGCAGAGCAACAGAAGTGGGGCAGCTAGGTAAAACACCATTAAGCAACTGATCCAGCTCTGCCATTTCCAACCTGCATCTGAGGAGCCATGGGCAAGCTGTCTTTATTTTCCTAATTGTAACAGCTGTCTGTTGCCCTTGTAGGTTCTTAGACAGAGTCTTAAGTATGTGAATATGTTCTTCCCAAATGCACTTTGTACTTATTTCACTGCTGCATATACAGACGGTAGTACATGCAGGAGAGCATGCTGGCTCACACCACTGGGAAATAGGAGCAGGACTACTTCTGCAAGACTGTATGACTGCTGTAACAAGAAGTGTGGATATTGTACCTCATTCGTTACAGAAATCTTCAAAAATGTTAAGTATGACATATCCTTTTAGCAGAGCAAATAATCTGTTAAGGAATAGATTTCTGTGCATGAAGTTACAGAGAAAATCGTGGACAAAATATTGTCTCCAATGTGTATATGTAATGTAATTATTTAAAAATAGGGGACTAATGAGTTTATTCACAAAAAGCAAGACTTGTTTACAATGGTAGACCAAGTGAGCCAAATAAATTATTGGAAGCAGAGCTCTTTGACTGGCTTCACTACCAGCTCTTCCCCACAGGCGTGTACCTTTCTCTAAAGGAAATGAGCTGCACACTGCTAACGAGGCTCATCAGCATTCCTGCCAACATTGCTGCCTCCAGGCTCACCAATCCTTATTAACAGAACTTTAGGGCAGGTTGGCACCCCAGCTCAATCATGTGTGGGGTCACTTCACCATGCCACAGCACCATAATAAAGTCTCAAATTGGAACAACATCTTTTAAGCGTACTCTACAGCCTTTATTTAAATGCCTTTTAATGTAAATTCACTGCTCATAAAAGTGAAAGAATGACTGCTCTGGCAGCCTCTGGGCATCATTTGGGAAGATGAAGTGCAGGCATATCTGCATAACTGCAAGTGCAGTGTCTCTGGCTGTGGCCTCGTAACCCCAGCTCCAGTCTCTTCATCAGAATTAGCCCAGCAGTTCCAAGTTGTGCAAATGTTTTATGGACATAACCAAATGTTCACTGTGGCTCAAACCGAGTTTTCCACTTGTGCCCTAATTACAGTTTAGATTTAGTGTGTGTCCAGTGAGCTGCCTGGTGAATCATAGCACTGCCAGTGGGAAGAACTGGAGAGAGATGAGGATGTTACGATGACATAGCACCCGAGAAGTGCAAGGTGGTCTCAATCAAACTCCTGATTCATCACTCACCATCGGAGCCTGAAGCCCTAGAGAAAGCACAAGTGTGCTGATGACTCAGTAGTTTAGTAGCATGGATTTTTCCCTGCCAAATGCTGATTCAGTTCTACACAGGACAATTTTCCTTCTTTTCCTACCAATTCAGCTGCCTCCCACTTGCTCATTTCGTAGCAATTAGGACCCAGACTGGGGGCATAAAACCATCAGCAGCTACTGATGAAGGACATAGAAAGAAAAAGAAGACAGGCAAGACAGAGAAGGAGGGAGAACCAATAAATGTATGCAGAAAGCAATGTATTTTTCATCCATGCCTGATTTCTGTACATCACTCATTTGCCCATAGATTTGACACTGTCACAGACAGCCCTAGTGTTATCTCAGAATTTATTACCATGAAGTAACAGCACTAAAATTGGCAAGCAGGAAGCAAAGCAGTTCACTTATCTGAGGTCTATCTAGTGTTACACTGGACTTTAAAAGATATACAATACAGAAGCTGTACCCATATGGGACAAGTTGCTAGTTTAGGCACATTTCTGGGAACCCATGAATGAATGAAGACACTGCTGCAGCAGCTTCAGCCAGTTTTTCAAACTTATGAGGCAGGAGTGTCCCACTTGGCAGACTGAGAAAGAGGCTGGCAGTAAGAAGATCTAATGGGAAGTCTCAATAATAAAGGACTACTATATCATATCAAAAGTGTGAAGATGTCACCAAAAAAAAAATATCTATCTAAATAGACCCAAAGGAGAAGGACTACTTGTTGAGCTCCAAATCAGGTAATGGAGCAGAATACAACTTCAACAGTCAACAGCCAAAAAGGGATGCCAAAAATGAAACTTAGTCACACCACAATAACCCAATTTAATGCTAATGAAAACTTAGTCACACCACAATAACCCAATTTTTGCATCTCTCACAGAGATGCACTGGATAAACACTAACCAACACAGAAGTTAACTAGCTAACAATAATTGCATATAAAAGTAATATATTTAATTTGGATTTTATATAATTATTTATTTTAATTAATATATAACTACCTATATTAATTCCGTGTAATCATTATATAAAAGTAGAAACTATTGGTGAAACTTTAACATTTAGGGGGAAAAAAAGCCCCACAAAAAACAATGGATAAGTTAGGTAATCTAGAACTTAAAAATAAAATATAGATACAAAAATTAACCTAGAAAGCTATACCCAATGCCATGCTCAAACATCGAGGGTCTCTGAGGCTTCAGAGGGTCCAGGCTGGCATCACATTATATATTGCTTCAAGGCTTAAATTTTATATAGCAGACAAATCTGGCAGTGGGGCTGCCCTGGAGGAGTGGAGATGCACTCCTAGGGGCTGGGAGGCCCCATGCCATGCTCCCACTTTCTACAAAAAGGCGCTAGTTCCATGCTAGTTATTAAAACTTGACTTCTGTCCTGCCTAATCTATTTTATCATATGAAGAAGATTCAGTTGGCACTGAATGGAAAGCGCTTCTAAATGATAGATGGCAAGGAATGAAAAGCAAGGGCAAGAAGGGTGAAGTACTGTCATTTAATCAACATGTAAATTTCATCCTCCAGCATTCTTTAATGCTATCTTGGTTTAATTTATTTTATTTTTTTTTTAAATCAGGTCTCATTATTTCAGTAGTACATAGAACATGCACTTGTGCCTATTAGGCCAACATCTAAATTGTTTCTATCTCCAGTACGTCGGTAATGTACCTGAATATATGCATATAATCACATTTTTTGTGGTACTCTCCCCTGGCCAGTGTACCAGACAACTTAACAGCTCTCAGTTTTTTTCTCAGAAACACCTTTTTAACTTGCCTTTAAAATTTAGATGAAACTAGAAAATGCACACAGTCTTAGGTAAAAAAAGTTTTGAGGCAAGATGGGCTAAATTGTGCTGCTCCAGAAGAAGTGCTGTATTTAATGTAGGCAACTAAAAGAAAAAAATGATAGATTGAACAAGAAAAATTAGATAGTCCAATATTACAAATAACGCAGTAATTTTCTCAGTAGACCTTGCATTATTGCTGTTGCTACCAGTAGTAGCAGTAGAAAACCTCATTATTT